TAGATATATGGTTTAACATTAGCTATATAAGTAAGGAAGTGCACAATATGAAAATTAGTACGTTTTTTAGATAAAAAGTTGTATATCAGTGAATATCAGTGTGATGGTGGTTGATGTTAATGCAAGTGTGAATATTTAAAATTCTCTTTTCTCTTTCTCTCTCTGACTCTCTCTCTCTCTCTCTCTCTCTCTCTCTCTACATATATATATGTGTGTGTGTGTGTGTGTGTGTATATAGATAGATAGATAGATAGATAGATAGATAGATAGACATGAGGACCAAAAATGTTTATGAACAATGCTATGTATCTTATATATATATATTTAACTAGATAGATGGATATATATATATATATATATAAACAGATTGAGATAGATAGATAGATAGATAGATAGATAGATAGATCAAGTTTTAAATAATATAATTATATATATTAGATGTATACATAGATATATTGTTTAACATTTGCTATATAGGTGGGTAATGCAGATATTGAAATATAGAACGTTTTTTAGGTAAAAAGGTATATATCAGTGTATATCGGCGTCCTGATGATTGACACAGGTGTGAATAAATATTTAAAATTCTCTCTCTCTCTCTCTCTATATATATATATATATATATATATATATATATATATATATATATATAGAGAGAGAGAGAGAGAGAGAATGATATATATATATATATATATATATATATATATATATATATATATATAAATAGACTGAGCTAGCTAGATATATAGATCAATCAAGTTTTAAATAATATAATTATATATATTAGATGTAGATATATTGTTTAACATTTGCTATATAGGTGGGGTAGTGTTCAATATGGAAATTAGAAAGTTTTGGGGATAAAATTTGTATATCAGGGAATATCAGTGTCCTGATGCTTGATTCAAGTGTGAAATTGATGAATTGGATTATTAAGTATTGTTCATTTCTCTCCACATTGTTAAAATAGATAGATAGATTGATAGATAGATAGATAGATAGATAGATAGATAGATAGATAGATATGAACAGGATCAGATAGATAGATAGATAGATAGATAGATAGATAGATAGATAGATAGATAGATAGATATGAACAGGATCAGATAGATAGATAGATAGATAGATAGATAGATAGATAGATAGATAGATAGATATGAACAGGATCAGATAGATAGATAGATAGATAGATATTGAAATGAGATAGATAGATAGATAGATAGATAGATAGATAGATAGATAGATAGATAGATATGAACAGGATCAGATAGATAGATAGATAGATAGATAGATAGATAGATAGATAGATAGATAGATAGATAGATAGATAGATAGATAGATAGATAGATAGATAGATAGATAGATATGAACAGGATCAGATAGATAGATAGATAGATAGATAGATAGATAGATAGATAGATATGAACAGGATCAGATAGATAGATAGATAGATAGATAGATAGATAGATAGATACCAACATTGTAGACATAAGAATCAGCACAGTATGTTGGTTGGCAGTTTCATGCTTCCGTTGTTTATATCTACATACACATTATCGAGACACTGAACACTCTACCTCATAAATATACCAATATTCTATTTTCCCTCGGCTCTGACCTTCTATGTGGCCGAGGGTCAAAACATACGCCGGATCAAATAGTGGTTTCTCTAACAAAGGGGGTGGAGGTGCGCGTTTTACCGGAGAGTACGTTTTCTTTATTAAGTGCGGGGGCAAGTAGATAATATACACGTATATGTATAATATACAAAAAATAATGGGGCGTTTATTTCAATATTCCAATAAAAACGTTTGAATTAATAAACATGTCGGATTATATATATATATATATATATATATATATATATATAGATAGATAGATAGATAGATAGATAAATAGATAGATAGAAAATATTAGTGGTCAATATATATATATATATATAAATTTCCAAGAGGATAGAATCCAGTTGTAGGTCTGATGAATTGGATCGTGATTACGATTCCAATGTAATAAATTATAAGCATAAAATATTAGTGCTTGAGCCTTTTATATATATACTAGCAGCATGGCCCGGCGTTGCCCGTGCTTGATTCAAAAATCGTACGACTCATACAGCAATCGCTTGACTTAAAATATTTTTGCCCTTCCTTGCCTTTAAAGAAGTGCCCTTTGCCGTGCTGATGTTGCTACATGCCTTACTTCTAACCTATCTCATACTGCGATTTTTTTAAAGCTCTATACTAAATATTAAATCTGTTACGTAAAAAGAACTAAACAAAATGAACACAAAACGATCAGCTTTAAAAAAGGACTCATAACTGGAAAAACTAAATGAAAAAAGAATGTTAACTACAAATACTTTTTTACACCCAACCCAGTTCTGCGGAATCAGAATCAACGTTGAGTTTAAGCAAGCGAATGTGCCAATTGGAGTAAAGTGCCATGCAGATTTAAATTTTTCCCACTTGTGACGAATGCAGCTATCGATTTTTTTTGCATGCTAGTTAACATTCGTGTCAGTCAGCTATAGGCTCTCACTCTGGCCAGTACAAAATGGCCGCAAACTACATGAAAACTGCCGTAGAAGCATGAAAAATCTATTATTTTCACTATCGATGAGAGTTGGGAAATGCAACGTTGGTCTTGGCCTTCCCGCTAACTTGGAGCATGTGCATGCAAATTTTGGTGCAATCCGTCGAAAATTACGGCCGTGCATTCGTTACACACACACACACACACACACACACCACACACACATCCTGCCTTTTTATATATATATATATATATATATATATATATATATATATATATATATATATATATATATGAATGATGTATTTTAACTGGCAAAAACATTAATCAAAATGAAAACGAAAAATTACATTCCAGTTATACCATCTCTTGCACCAATGTAAGGGGTCAACGTTCCCAATTTCCAGAAGTGAAACTCCATCTTCTAAATCTGACCTCCTGTTCCTGTCTGAAGCAGGTATCAATGCCTCAATCCCATTGCAGGAGCTCACTATCCCGGGATACTCACCCATTATAACAAAATACGACCACCTTAATTGCCATGTTCATGGTGTCGTTGACTACATCAAGGATGGGTTTCTCTGTGGCATGGACACAAAAACACGAGGACCCTGATCTTCCGTATATGTGTTTCTACGGAGCACTTATCCATAGTACCACATTTGTCTTTGCCTTGAATCGTCTTCAGGATGAAAGTTTGGTAATCTTCGATCGAATCTTAGAGAGAATTGACAATATCTTCACCGAATATCCCTTGAACAACTTTCACATATGCGGGGAATTCAATGTTCGCCACATAAGAGTGATTAGTCTACACTAACAAAACCGATGAGGAAGGCAGACGTTGCAGAGACTTTTCCATCACATATGAATTGACACAGATCATTGAAGAACCCGCCCAAGTTCTAGATGCGACGGGACAGCTGGTGAACATCCTCGAACTTTTTCTAACATCCAGCCCTGACAAATGCTCAGAAAAAGTTTTAGCCCCCATTGGCACATCAGATTATTCCCCAGTCAGTATCCAGATTGACTCCAAACCAATGGCATTCCCTGATTTACCGTTCTATAGAACGGATTTCGCTATGCTGAGGTAGACTGGGACAGCTTTCGGTCCTACATGACGGAAACTACTCTCCCAACCGTCTTCCAACATGCGGCCCCCAAAACTGTTGCCTTAATCTCTGAATAGATTCTTTCTGGAATGGAGTGTTTATACTCCTCAAAACTCCAGTAAAAACCATCGAGTCAGTCCTGGTCCCCGCTGAATAGATTGCAGCCATAGCTTACCGGAAACACTACTTCAAATTCTATCGCAAAGAGCGGTGTAGTCTGGTGCTTATTTCTTTCAGAACCGTCCGCAATTTTTGTAAAAGAGTCCGGGAAAAAAAGCAAAGTGCAGATACGCGATCTATCCAGGTCAAGGTTGAAAATAAATAAATTGGAGCTCGCGAATTCAGGAAGATCACCAACCAAATTATGAACAGAGTCAAA